GCCCTTCGGCTCCCGCGGCGCCCCGCGGACACCCGGGCTCCCCGGGGCTTCGGCGCTGGCGCTGTCAGCCGTGCACCTGCCGGCGGCGGGCGGGAAGTGGGGCTCCTCCTGGCCGCCGTCGGGTGTCAGGCTTTGGCTGGCTGTGTGGATGGGGCTTCTGAGTAGGTCAGAAGCGGTGAATCATTTCCATCGTTTATGTGTGCAGGGAGGCTGCGTTGTGAGTTGATTCAGCCACATTCCGTGTTATGTGAAATATGTGTGTGTTCCTGGAAGCGACATTTGTTTCTTTACTACGTGTGCCAGACGGGGAGGCTGGCAGAATTTCTGCTCAGACGTTTGCGAGGAGTGGTGGTAAGGGGAGAAATCTGGATTCAAAAAACAAAAACTGTGGCGTGTTGATCTTAGTCTGTTAGCATACCTGTCGCAGAGAACAGGAATCATATTCATGATTTTATCTTATTTTAGTGGTACTGGCATGCTTTTTGGAGACAAGGTCTTGTCATGCAGTTCAGGCTGGCCTTGAACTCACTATGTAACCCAGGCTGGTCTCAAATTTGTGGCCATTCTCCTGCCTCAGCCTCCAAGTGCTAGGATTACAGGTGCACATCACCACGCCCAGCAGTGTTTTATGTTTTTATTTTGAGGCAGAGTCTTGCTAAATTGCCCAGGCTGGCTCAAACCAGCGGCCCTCCTCCTGGTTAGCTGGGATTACATCATGCCCGGCTGAGATCCCTGGATCGTTTGGGAAGAAGAACCGTTTAGAAACAGCCCACAGAGGGGCTGAGGATGTAGCTCAGCGGCACAAGCGCCTGCCTGGCAAGTGCGAGGTCCTGAGTTCAATTCCCAGTACCAAAAAAACCCCAAAACCTAGAAACAGCCCCCAGAGACGCCGCAGCCCGGGCAGGGTCGTGGGGCAGGTGGTCCCATCATGCCATCCCTTGTTTGTAGACAAGGAAACAGGCTGCGCGGTCAGAGCTGGTGCGATCCCGCTGGTCTCTCAGGAGGCTGAGAGACTCTAAGGATAAACATGTAAAAAGAGAAGCACAAGTGGGCTGGTTTAGGTCGTTTTTCTGCTCGAGCTGGGGAAGTATCTGGATTTTATGGTCAGCAGAATTCCCAGCAGAATCGAGCTGCTGGCCAGCAGAGAGGTGGAGGCTTTGGGTACAAGGCAGCTGCGACCTAAATGTCATTTGAACCCAAGTGCCTGCGGCTTCTCAGTGGTCACCTTGTGCCTTCTCCTTCCGCCTCTCAGGGCCCCTGACCTTGTGCTGGGAGACAGGGTGGCGGTGGTGCCCGGCCTCCTGGAGGACTGAGCCCAGCACCTCTGTCCTCTCAGTTTGAGAGCTGCTGTGGAAGGCAGTAGATGACTTTTTCCAGTTTGGAGAAAGTTGCGCTGAAGCATCCTGGTCATGGGAATTAGTCTACTAGGTGACCTAAGAAATGGTTTTTTTGAGCCAGAATCTCACTGTGTAGTCTGGGCAGTCCTTGAACTCCTTACGTAGGCCAGGCTGGTGATCCTCCTGCCTCAGGCTCCCGAGTGCTGGGGCTGCAGGTGTGTACCGCCACGGGTGGCAGTAAACACTTTAACCATCTAAGGTGACAGGTCTAGGGTGTCTGAGACTAGCCTGTGCTGTGCAGCAAGGTAGCAGTTGATACAGAAGAGGACCTGGTGAGGACTCACGCATTTCCATGCTGTGGTGAGTTCCGTCCGGCTGTGCTGCCCTGAACGTTGTGAGTTTTGAGGGGAAGGAGTGTTTACGAGGCTGGGAGCTGAACCAGGTCCCCAGGAACAGGTAGAATCTGATGTGTACAAAGACAGTGAGGGAGCCAGGCAGGGTGGCACACACCTGTGATCTCAGCACTCTGGGAGGCTGAGGCAGGAGGATCACTGTGAGTTTGAGGTCAGCCTGAGCTACAAGGTGAGACCCTGTCTCAAACCAAAATAAAGAACATAGGGATATAACCCCAAATGCTGGTAGTTTGGGGCTGGAAGGGGGAAGGAAGTCGCTGCTCAGGAAGGTCTTCCCGATGAGGACAAGGGATTCTGGGGGGCTCTGACAGATACGAGGCCCCATCCTGGGCTTCAGACAACCCCCTGCTCGCCCGGCACAAGCAGCATCTATCAGCACCGCTCTGGGGCTTGGGGTGAAGAAAGTTCGGGGTGCTTGCAAGCAGAGGTTTGTCCCTGAGGGTCTTTGACAAATCGCCACCTGACTCTTTTTTTTTCCCACCACTTCCATTTTTGTCTTTCATATTTAAAAATATTTTTATAATAACTTTGGGGGCATTTATTTGAGAAAAAGTAGGAGCTCGGGAGGTAGCTCAGCGGCACAGCGCCTGCCTGGCAAGCTCAAGGTCCAGCATTTGATACCTGGTACCAAAAAAATATATAAATAGAGGTAATATTTTAGGAAAAATGACCTACAGGGCTGAGGGTCTTGCTCAATTGTACCGAGTTTGCCCAGGTGCACAGGGCCCCAAGTTCAGGCCCTAGCAGCACAGAGAAATCAAATGAGTCAAAACTTGTGTCACCAGCATCGCCTGGGGTCTGCCCTGGTTCCGAGAACCCTGCTGCCCTGGGTGCGGCCCACCGGACCAGTGCTGGCCTGGCAGGGGCTACTGGCTCTGCGGACCTCAGCTTCGGTGTCCCAGGGAGTCGGGCTGGCAGATGAGATTTGGTGGTGAATTGTTTGAAATACTCCCAGGTTGTCAAAGGAACAACTGGAAGAATGAATTTCTACACTGCTCAGTTCTAGTTAGTTCTGTTAGGAGTCTCACAGCTCTTCTTGTTTTTTTGAGACAGGGTGTTACTATGTAGCGCAGGCTGGCCTCAGTCTTAAGGTGATCCCCCTGCCTCAGCCTCCTGAGAGCTGGGATGACAGACATGCGCCACCACACCTGGATCCTACAACTTTTTTTTTTTTTTTTTCTTTTTTGAGACAAGCTGTGCAGTTCAGGCTGGCCTTGAGCTCACTTTGTAGTCCAGGCTGGTCTCGAACTTGCAACGATCCTTCTGCCTCAGCCTCCTGAGTGCTGGGATTACAGGCTGCGCCACCACACCGGGCTCCCACAACTTTTAAGTCACATCAGCAAACACGTTAAAAGCCAGTTGTGCCAGCTCACACCCATCCTGTGACTCCCTGTTGGATCAATATTACCTGAGTGACTGTACTTGTCATCTTATGCATTGGTTATAGTTCTGTCCCACCTGGAACCCGCCTCATCTCGGGGCTTTGCTTAATAAAACACCCTTGCGAGGTGTGGTTGATGGGCAACCCATTTTCTGTGTCCCCCGCCCCCCCGACCCTCTTAAAAGTTTTCTTTCTTTCTCTCGGTAAATTCTTCTGACTCCTAGCCTCCACTGTTCCTAGAATCCATTCCTCGATTTTAGGGAGCACGAAGTCGGCATTTGGGACGTCTAGCAGAGTGGGAGTTCTTTCCCCTGTAGCAATGACAACCTAATTACGAGGAGGAGTCCCTTTATTTTAAGAAAAGCAATTACAGTGGGCCAGGCCCGTGGAGAATGAACCGTCTGTTTCCACTGGCCCGGCCTGGGTTAGGGTGGGGAGGGCCCGGGGAGGGTTCCAAACTCCAGAACCCCTGGGCCTGAGCCTGCTGCCTCCTGCTCGGAATCTGAGCCCTGGTCTCCCTGTGGGTCAGAGGAGCGGGTGATAACAGCACTGCTCCACCCTGTTGAAGATTTGTTAGGACAGTGCACATAAAGTGCTTGGCTCTCTACTGGTATCTGCTAAGAGTGGTGCGAACCTAAGTTCTAATTAAATGTCCAAGAAAAGAGATTCAAAAAAAAAACAACTTTCCCTCCTTCAGGGGTGACAACAAGGCTTTATTACAGGGCTTTGTAGGATGGATAGGAGTTCTCCCAACAGTGGAGTAATAAAGTTCCATTCAAGGTTGAGGGAGCAGCCAAGAGCCTTCAGAGAGCTGTAACTGGAAGCTCTTAATTCAGGAGGGCAGCAGGGGAAGGAGGCCACCGAGTGGGCGTCTCTAACCCCTGCTCAAGCGTGGAGTTGAAGTGTCATGCAGATGAGTCGGGTTTATATATCTCCCCTGCTAATACCAGGAATCGAACTCAGGACTTCGCACTTGCCAGACAGGCGCTGTGCTGCTGAGCTAAATCCCCAGCCCCTGAGTTGGGTTTATAATCGCGGCCTCACCTGGCCTTTGTCCAAGTGTGTTGGGAGACTTGCTGTCCCAGGGAACTTGTGCTGTGGCTCTGAGACTCCACTGCGTGGCTCTGATCCGGTCCGCACCCCAGATCTCGGCTGCTGCTTGGGTCCCGTGGGTTCAGTTTGTGGATGCAGAAGCCAGGTGGGTGTGATGTTGAGGCCGAGGACACGAGCCCTGCGCCTTGCCTGGCGGCCGTGCGCGTCCTAGGCTAAGGAGCGCGGCCCTCAACCCCGGGAGCCCTGAGTCCTGTCGGGAGTTGGGGTCCATAGCAGCCCTGAATGACCCTGAGGAAAGAGAAAGCAGGAGACTGCCTGGGAAGGGCAGAGCCAGGGCCTCTGGAAACCCATGCGTGGCCCCGCCCATGTATTTTAAGGGGGAGTCAGCCCATTCAGAGGTTTGGGTTTGTTCCCACCACGTCTCTGGCGCTTGACCTCAGAGCCTTCACACTGACCCTCAGCCCCAGCCTTAACCGAGGCGAGGTCTTGTTAAGCTGCCTTGGCTAGGTTTTAACTTTGCATCCTCCTGCCTCAGCCTCCCAGAGAGCCAGGATCCCAGGTGTGTGCAGCAGGCTGTGCTCAGCATGTTAAAAGTTGATCACTGCCCAGGGGACGGAGCTGTGGAGCCTCCGGTGACGCAGACAGTGCAGGTGACGTGGACGAGGGCCGAGAGTCCAGGGCTTGTCAGGCAGAGGCAGTGGGAGGAAGCTTCTGCGGGGTCAGCTCAGGAAAATGAGAGCCCAGGCTCCTCTCCACCTCCGGGCCGGGCAGAGGAGCCTCCTGCCTCTGCCTCCTGAGTAGCTGGGAGGCTAGGCTTGCACACTGCGTCCCACTGGGCAGCACTGAGCTGGGCGAGGGCCCCGCAGGCGGCTGGGTGAGTTGTGAGCCGGCGCAGATGTGCAGAACCTGCGTCCTTCCTGTCTGCGTGTCTGAGTCAGTGCGCGACATGGGTGACCGTCCATGTGCGGGACCTGGAAGTAGAGTTTTCTTTTCGCCTCCATGTCCCTGTCCCTTTGCTTTGCAAACCAGTGTGGCAGTCTTCCTGGGGTTCAGAGCTGCCTGGCCGCTCTGGGGGTGCGGGAGTTTCTGGTGGAGGCGGCGGGAACCCTGCAGGAAAGAGAAAGTGAAACCTCTGCGACCGAGGCCCCTGCGGGGGGCTGGGCTTGCAGAGCCGTTCCGGGAAAGGGGCTGACTAGGGCTCGGCAGGGCCCGGAGCTGACGGTTCGGTGCCGGTGCCGGTGCCGGTGCCGAGAGCGGGTCTGAGCTCCCCGCAGCTCCTCTGGCGTTGGCTGCGCTGCGCAGGGCACTCGGCCTGGGGCTGCGCTCTCGGCCTCGGCGTCGGCGCCGGGGAGAGGAGCGGCCGCGGGTGTCCGCGCCCTCTCCGCGCTGTGGCCTTGCGCGTTTCTTCTGGGCCGGCGTCCGCTCGGCCGCTGTTAGCCTCTTTTATCAGTGTCTAGGGAAAGCGCGTTCGTTAAAACCTTCATGAAAAGCAGAGTCAGTGCCAGAATGGAAGCATTCTGGAGCTAAAACGCATCCCCCCAGCCCCCGCGCTTTTTAACTGGTGGGGATTGAACCCAGGTCGTCAGCACTGAGCTACATCCTCCGCCCTTTTTACTTTGAGACAGGGTCTCGCTAAGGTGCAAGGTTGCGCGGGCTAGACTTGACTTTGGCAGTCCTCCTGCCTCAGCCTCCTGAGTGGTGGATGACAGGTGTGCGCACCCCACCCGCACATTATTTATAAAGTTTCACATATCGTCTCTTTCCGTCAGCACGGAACAGATCCACTTTGACTTCGCGGCACTGGCGGGGTCTGGCGGGGCTTAGCGGGTGGGGGCGGCGGATTCCTGCGCAGAGACTCTAAGGCCCTGAGGTCCCTGCTGCACGCGTGCACCCCACTGTACCCTCTCCCAGGGTGGGGGACACGGCGCAGGAGAGCTCTCTGCTCAGCTCTGCTGTAAACTTTTTTTTTCTTTTTCTGTAAACTTGCAGTTGTTCCCAAGTGATAAAGTTTATTAATTCAAAGAACTGCAAAAATAGCTGAGAAGTTCTGGATCATAAGCACCGGCCTGGGCTCTGGGGCTCCTGAGCTTGGGCTGAGCAGAAGCAAGGCGCTGGCCTGGCCCAGCGCACACATGTCTGCGCACACACACACGCACACGTGTGAACACAGGTGTACACACACGTGCACATTCAGTCCTCCAAGCAGAACTCGTTTGTATTTTATTTATTCTATTTTATTTTATTTTATTTTTTGTCTTTTTGAGACAGGGTCTCACTGTGCACTTCAGGCCGGCGTTGAGCTCACTTTGTAGCCCAGGCTGGTCTCGAACTCACAAGGATCCTCCTGCCTCAGCCTCCTGAGTGCTGGGATTACAGGCGTGCGTCACCGCGCCTGGCTCAGAGTTCGTTTGTAATGGGTGGTAAAACAGCGTTTCATATTTGCATTTGTGCTGCTTACTTCACTGGCATCTGCACCTACACCAGGTGGTCACTGTATTCACTTCACTCAGAGAAGAGGCCGGGGACGAGGTCCAGGATCAGACGGCAGATGGGGATGCTTGCCTCCTGTCTTGACCCTGCACTGGTGTCTCTTTGATATTTTGTGAAGAAACGGGAGGCAGAAAGAAAGCTCTTCTCGCCGGGCATTGTGGTGTGTGCCTGTCATCCCAGCACTCTAGAGGGCTGAGGCAGGAGGATCTCTGTGAGTTCCAGCCAAGTCTGGATTCAAGTTCCACATGGCAGCTGGGCATGTGGAGTTTGGGTGTGGTATTATAGAAGAATATCGAAAATTATCTGAAGAGACTGTAAAGAGTTTTCCCCTTTCCCACTCGTATATTTGTGTGAAGTCAGATTTTCCTCTGGTACATCGGCCAAGACAGTATTGCAACAGACTGACTGAAGGCAGTTCCCAGAACTCAACCATCTGCTCAGCCAGACACTCAATTTCCAAAACTTGCAACAGTGTCAGTGTTTCTACTAATTTTTTGTTTGTTTTGGAAAATAGTAACTATTTTTGTTAACAGGCAGTAGGCTTACTATTTTTAAAAATGAATTAAACAGCATGCCTCTCATCCCAGTACTCAGGAAGCTGAGGCAGGAGGATCACAGTGAGTTTGAGGACAACCTGGGCCTCATAATAAGTTCAGAGCCAACGTGAACTACAGAATAAAACGCTGCCTCAAAAAAAAAAGAAAAAAAGAAAGAAAGAAAATGATTAAGCATTTAAAAATTTGAGATTTTTTTTTTTTTTTTTGTCTTTTTGAGACAGGGTTTCACTATGTAATTCAGGGTGGTCTTAAACTCACTTTGTAGCTCAGGCTGGCCTCAGATACAGCAATCCTCCTGCCTCAGCCTCCTAAGCACTAGGATTACAGACATATGCCCCACTGAGCTAGGGTCACTGAAACAGGCAAGCCAGATAGTTCGGCTGGATTGATCTGTGGTCTGAGCGCAGCTCTGCTTTACAGAAATTGTAGACCATGAAGTCCTCACAGATGGATAGCGAAGTCGTGTCCACAGGGCTCAGGAATTTTTGTTTCTAAGATAAAGATAAATGGGTTAGGGTTAGGGAGTAGTAAATAAAGAAAAATGCTTTGAAGATCCCCTTTTATTTTGTTTACTTTTCTGGGCGTTTATGTGTCTGACAGTCAAGTAGAGATTATGACTAACTAAAGACTCAGGGCCTCACCAAATTCATCGGGCTGCTTTTATTGCTAGAAGATCTTTAGATCTTTATTGCTAGAAGAACATTTTATGCCTGCAGTTTATGCCTGCAGGGGTTATTTTATTTTTTGTTGTTTTGAGACAGATCTCTTCTGTAGTTTAGGCTGGCCTTGAAGTCACTGTGCAGCCCAGGCTGGCCTCAGACTCACTCAATCCTGCCTCAGCCTCCTGAGTGCTGGGATTGGCTTGGATTTTTTGTTTGTTTGTTTGTTTTGTTTTTTGATCCTGGGAATCAAACTCAGGCCCTTTTGCTTGCCAGGCAAGTACTGTGCTGCTGAGCTGTATCCCTGGCTCTGGATTAAGGGTTTTTTTTTGGTAAGTTTTAAAGTTAAATTTTTTTACTAGATAATTCTAGTAAAGTACTGATTTATCTCAGACAAGTTCTAATGAGGTTTACTTTCCTTTGTTACACGGAACAGGAGTAAAGCTCTCAATTTTCTTGTAATTGTGTAACAAATTTGAAAAGAAATTTACTTGTTAGAGATCTTAACCGCAGAGATAAGATTTAAAGATGGATAATGGGAGAAGCCCGGGGCTGCAGGTGCTCCTGCATGCCTCGCTCACCCTTATCTGGAGAAGGACCACACTTATCACACTTATCCAGCGACACTTACCAAGCTGGGAGGAAGGCCTGGAATTCTCGCCGCCCAGGTGCAGGGTGGGTGTGATTCTGTGGCTTCGGATCTGGACTGGCCCCCACCAATCGCTTGGAAAGGTGGCCCTTCCTTTCTAACTGTTATTTTTCAGCGCTGAGGGTTGAACCCAGGGCTTTCATCAACAGAGCTAAACCCCAGCCCTTTTCACTTTATTTTTATCTTTTTGAAATGGTGTCTGCCTGCATTGCTAAATTGCCCAGATTGAGCGTGAATCTGTGACCCTCCTGCTTCAGCCTCTCAGGATGGTGGGATTCTAGACAGGTGTCACCACACCTGGCTGAAAAGTGCCATTAAATACATTTTTAACATTAATAGATTGGGGCCAGGCCTGATGGCTCACACCTGCAATCCCAGCTATTGGGAGCCTGAGGCAGGACGATCTCAGAAAGTTTGAGGCCAGCCTGGGGTGCTAATAGAGACTCTATCTCAAACATACAAAAAAATAAATTAATAGCCTGGAGCTAATGGCAGAGCACTCACCTAGCGTGTGTGAAGCCCTGAGTTCGATCCCCAGCCCCGCTACAGTGATTTTAAATTTAAAAATAGCGAGTTCCCCTGCCCTGCCCTCTCCCACAGAGCCTCCTGCTTTGCGCAGCTTCGTGGATGCGCACCTTAGCCACATCTGATGAGTACACGCGGATGCAGTGTTCTTACCACAGCCCCCGCTCCTGGGTTTCAGGGCCCTAGAAATCCTAGCTTTCACCTCTTCTTTTTGAGACAGTGTTTCCCAATGCAGTCCAGACTGGCCTTGAACTCACAGTGATCCTCCTGCCTCAGCCTCCTGAGTACTGGGATTACCGGCACGCACCACCATGCCCGGCTTCACCCCTTCCTCCCTCTCCTGAGCCCTTGGGAATCGGGTGCTTTTTATCTTTCTCAGTTGGATCTTGCGATCCCCCTGCCTCAGCCTCCTAAGCAGCTGGGATGACAGGCGTGCACTGCTGTGTCTGGCTGCTGGTTTTGTTTCCTCTCTTCTCCTGTCATAGTTATCGGCGGCCACACGCATCCGGCGTTTCGCACCCTGTGACCTCACACACGTGCTCGCTCACGCGCAGCTGTGGCTTCCAGGTGTGGGTGCGCAGAGCTGCTGTCCTGTTTACTCCGTGTGCATCTGGGCAGTGCAGGCTGGAGCCCCGGGAAGGCTGAGCTCCAGCCTGGCCCCTTTAAGTTATTTTTAAAATTTTGAGGCCGGGGGTGGGGTGCGGGTTTGGGGGCATGTGGGGGGACGACCTCAGTTGCCCAGGCTGGGCTGGAACTTCTCGTGCTTGTGCCTCAGCCTCCCCAGGGCTGGATGATAGGTGTTAGCTGTCACTGCTGGCTTTGAAAGTTTCTCAGTGCGTGGAATTTTCTCCCAGAATTGCAGCCCCTGCAGCTGCAAACTCAGGGTGCGTGTGGTCAGAGCACCGGGTCGGGGGTGGGGCGGCCCTGTGGCTGCCTCCGGCTGAGGTGTGGGGCGTGAGGTGCAGAGCGCGGCTTAGATGCCGGTCTTCAGCTC